CGGCAGCTCCCACGGGTGAAGGCGGAGGGGACACAGCGGAACACAGCGGGCAGCCCTGGGAGCCAGCGCCGTGGAGGCCCCGGCCGTGCAATCTCCTGCAGGAAGGCAGGCCGGGCCTGAGCAGAGATGTGAAGTCATTAGCTTTAGGTGTTTAAAGAAATAATCTTGTTGTTGTGAATCCTCATCTGAGGATATTTCTCCATTGATTTTTAGGGAGAGTGGACGAGAGAGGGAGAGACGGAGAAACAGCGATGTGAGAGACACACCACCTTAGTTGCCTCCTGCAGGAGCCCTGACCAGGGCCTGGATCGGGGAAGAGCCTGCCCTTGACCGGAATTGAACCTGAGACCCTTTGGTCCTCCGGCCAACAGTCTCTCCACTGAGCCAAACTGGATAGGGCCTAACTCTTTAAAAAAAAAAAAAGTTTTTCCTGATTTTGATTTTTTTTTAGAGAGAGAAATATCATCAATCGGCTGCCTCCTGCACAGCTTCTACAGGGGATCAAGCCCACAACCCGGACATGTGCCCTGACCAGGAATCGAACCGGTGATCTCTTGGTTCCTGGGTCGATGCTCAAACATTGACCTACACCGGCGAGGCCCGGCTCTCTTAGTTTACGTTCCCTCCAAAAGCAGAATCTATGACATGAGACGTGATCTTATGGGCAAGCCATTTACTTTTGGAAATGATGTCGGGGGTCAGGACTGGGGCCTTGGGGGAGAGAAACCGGTGGCCTGCTGGGGCCAGAGGCGAGGCACTGCGGGTGCAGGCCTGAGCAGAGAGCCCCCCCCCCCACCCCACCCCCCGTGTTTGCGGGATGACGGAGGGAGTGGCTGCAGGGTCGGCCTGGCTCAGCAGGCGGCAGAAACAGGCCCCACAGCCCGCAGTCTGGTTACCGTCTGGCCTCCAGCCCCAGCAGGTGCAGGGAGGGAGGAAGGCGAGTTGCTGCCCCCCTCCTGGGGGCGGAGCGGCCCCTCCCTGCGTGGGGTTCTCCTGCCCGCGGATGCTGCCCTGCGCTGGCCCTGCACCAGGGGCACTGGCTCTGACAGTGGGTCTGAAGAGCGTGATCTGTTTTAGACCCGAGTTCTTTCGGGAGCCGCTGTGGAGAAGTCCCAGGACACACAAGGAAAACCCCTCAGATGGGAGGCAGTGGAGCCCGGCAGTGACAGCGCATCCAGAAAACAGCGGGTCTGCGCTCAGGGCCCAGCGGTGGGAGAGAGCAGGGGGGCAGGGGCCCCTCCCCTGGGCCCACGGGGCTCCCCCGAAGGAGGACAGAGACCACGAGCAGGCCCAGGGAGAGTGAGCGGTGGGCCAGGCGGGTGGGGTGGCATCACAGGTGCTGGCCAGGCCTCCGCGGGGTCTCTGTGCTCCGGCTCCTC